AAAAAATAAAGTACAAATGAGTGACCAACACCAGTATGTTTACACTTTCAACTCAAGTGTATTTTGTAGAATCAATCGGAACTGAACATGTAAGCAAATATGGGCCCTTCGAAATGCCACCATTTCGAAAAGGCCCAGCAAGAACGACCCACATGGAGCCCAATCAATTATAGCTCTCTAAATATCAGACAAACCACCCCCATCTTTCCGTTATATTTCAAATGGAACCACATGACCGTAGACTAAGGGTGTGCTTAGAAACAAATATATCCGCTAACACAAGTTTTTTTGGTTAACTACATTTAATTTTTAAAAAGTTAATATGGGTAATATTAGTGTAATTTTAATATCATATTTAAACAATATTTAAAATAAAATAATTAAAATTGATTTGATGTAGAACTATGAGAGATGCATCATATTTAAATAATATTTAAAATAAAATAATTAAAGTTGATTTGATGTAGAACTATGCGAGATGATGCGAAATGATGATTAGTTAAATTATGTGATTGCATAAATTGTGAATTAAAGTTGATATAATTTGTAAGATTGATTGATTGATATTATTTTGTTAATGAAATTATGTTCAAGTTGATTTAGATTTTGAGTATGAATTGAGTATGAATTGAGATAATTTATAAACAAACACAACCTAAGATTGACCATGAAATGGTTTGGTTTGGCGATTTCGAAATCTCATAACGTAATCGAAATTTGGAGATTAGCGAAATTTTATTTTTGGTTCATGAAAGAAATTAGAACGGTTTAATTTGGCCATCTTTATATTTTAATTCTATTCAGTTTTGATATGAGGAGGTTATCGAGAGATTATTAGGATTGATATTTTTTTCAGAACAATAGAGAATATTATAAATCAAAACGCACAAATGTGCAAAAATACAACCCTTAGTTGAATGAAAACAACCAAAAGCTTAATAAAATGAGAGGTCATATCGGACGACCGCCTAGAATCTCGACACTAGCAACGCTAAAAGTAAAAATAATTAATTTTTAGCTAAAAATGGGATTTTTTTTTTCTTTTTTAGGATTGATATTGTTAGGGTCGGATATAAGGAGATTCATAATTAATTTTTTCCAAATTAGCTTTAAAAATAAAAACAAACCAATCACAATTTCGCTAAAAATATGTTTGTGAATGTTAGTGATAAAAAAATATACTCTTAATATAATATATATAATTTAAAAGAATATTTTTTATTCCATAATTGTAATAAAATAAACCAAAAAGGGTAATACATTTTATTATTTACAAATATCAAACTAAAGTGAAGTTCATTTACTATTACTTTATGATAATGATATTACGTATTACGAAAAATATTTAAATGCTTTAAGAACTAAAATGACATATAATGTACTATTACATTACGATATTATGCATTACGAAAATATTTCAATAATTTAAGAACTAAAATTGACAAAAAATCAAAGAATAGTACACATTTAATTTATAATTTAGTTCTTAATTCGAGATTATTTCAATAATTTATGAACTAAAATTGACAAAAAATCAAAGAATAGTACACATTTAACTTATAATTTAGTTCTTAATTCGAGATTATTTGGGTTTATTATTCTGATTTTCTCTAACCGTCCAATACCTACAGTCCCGTTACGGAATCATTCAGTCGGGTTTGTAACCATTAGAACAACTCCAATGGTACATGGATTGCTCATTTTTATTGCCACATAACTAATCTTATGTGACATTCAAAATGTCTAGAAGTCTTTATATATCTAAAAGTATTTGTAGACATCATCTATTATATTTTTTATTATTTATTAAATATATATATCATCACCAACCAATTATAATGTAACACATGTCAAATTATACTAAAATTGACATTCACCATTGGAGACAAAATTTTGTAGCTCCATTTCTCCTTGTTATACATCTCCAAATGGACCAGAAAATTCTATGGCACCACATTTGGCACCATAATATGGTGCCACATGTGGTGCCATAAAATTTCTGTGGACTATATACCATTGAAAATGCCCTTAGATCAACTATTCCTGACGATTATATGATGATCTAACAATTATAAATCACAACCCAATAGTTCCGTAACGGGGTCGAAGCATTTTCCGATAAAAAAAAGGAGAAGGGAAGACGAAAAAAGAACACAAAAAAAAAAAAAAAAAAAAAAAACCACGTTTCCGTTGCCTTTGGCGCAAAAACGGAATCGCATCTGAGTCCTTTGCACAAGAAACGAATAGCTTTTCTCAGTCGTCGTCGTTCCCCTTTCTCTTTCTATACATACACGCAGACTGTATCTACATTCGTCTTCGCTGTGCACAGTAGCTATATATAGCCTGACCTAAAAACTCAGTATTTGCCATTAAAGGTTTTCATCTCCTTGCCGTTTGAGCTATCCTTCACCCACTCTCTACTTCTCTCTCTCTCTCTCTCTCTCTCTCTCTCTCATTGATTGCACATTTTCACTGTTGAATTCGGTTGGGCACAGAGCAGCCACAGAAACAGAGCGTCGCTAGAGAGAAGGGGATTCGTTTTTTAGAGAGAGAAAATAAAAGTGAGGTATTTGGAGATGGCGACTTCCGGTCAGGGACAGAGCAACTACGATCTGTCGTTCAAGATCTTGCTCGTCGGAGATTCAGCCGTCGGGAAGAGCAGTTTGCTCGTCAGCTTCATTTCTAATTCCGTTGAAGATCTTTCGCCTACCATAGGTATTTCCTTGACGTCTCTCTCTTTCTCTCTCTCTCTCTCTCTCTCTCTCTCTCTCTGTGTGCTTTGAGTTCTCAAAATTTGGCATCTAATTGCTAAGCTTGAAGTTGGTAGTTTTATGAAATGTGTTGGGTAAATCGTTTGATTTGGTGGGTTTTCGTATTGAATTTGATCCTGGATTTGGTTCATCTCTTTGCTTTGCATTTATTAGTGATATAGTACTTTGTCGACTTTTGTCGCGGTGTGGGCAACCGTAGGAGCTTGAATCTGTGCATCTGGAAGAATTCTGAGTGGAAAAAGATGTGATAAACGGAGTGAAGATGTTTCATCTGCACATATATATTGATGAATAATACAGATAAATGGGCAATGAGGTTTTTTCGTAATGGTCGGCCGTGATTATTTGATTTTGTTGTTCGAAGTACTAATGTGTCGGATAATTTCTGTGCGTACAAATTTAGCTTAAAGTAGAGTTCTGTTGTTGTTTGTTCCTTTACTCATTGTAGATGGGTTAAGACTTTGAAAGCTATTTCGGTGTCTCCTGATGTCGACATTTTTGTGTGGATGATTTGATCATGTGATTATGTTATGCACATGTTCTTGCTTGGTTGCCCTTGTATCTTGTGCAGGATGTTGAGTAATTGTGTTATATGAGTAGTCAACACCTCTGACTCAATTAAGTAATGTAACTTGCTCGATCATTTCCTTCTTTTTTTTTTTCTTCAATTCTAATATAACTCTGACTCGAGTTAACGACTATTTTTAGGCTGGTCTTATTACAAAAAAATTGAATGAGTAAACAAATTTAAATTTTCTGAGACTGGGTATATTGTACATATCGAGACTCATTTTACTATCTAAGTAGGACGTGAGGAATTTAAGCTTGTACGTAGAATAAATGAAGCAGAAGCCACACGATCATTTATGCTCATGCTATATTTTCTCTAGGAAAGTTATCGAGATAGTCATCTTAATACAATAAAAATGCAGTAAGATTCATCTGATGTGAAATTCTCTGTCATTCAATTTCTAGGTGTGGATTTTAAAATCAAGTTTCTCACTGTTGGAGAGAAAAAGTTGAAGCTAACAATTTGGGACACAGGTATTGACAGTCTTGACTTTGGTTCAATCTTCAAAAGTTAACTTGATGTATATTTAATTGATTTTTTTTTTGTAATCATTCACAAACCCACATATTTGATGATGATTCTTCTGTTCGTTATTGTTAACAGCGAATTTTTCATGTTTCTTGCAGCTGGACAAGAGAGGTTCAGGACATTGACAAGCTCATACTACAGAGGTGCACAAGGGATCATCCTTGGTAAGCATGGAAAGACAAAAAATAACTGTCGTGCCTGAATGTCATTGACATGTCTTTGACGTGTTTAACATGGTTGATATATATCCATAAGAGTTCATGATATGGTTGCTTGACTAGAATATGTGTTTTACCAAAATGTGACATGTTTAGACACTGAACACTACTGTAGAAGTACTTGCTTCAGTATTTCCCTAACATATTATTTTGATGTCTTTTGTCTGTCGGAGAATGCATGCTACAGAATTGCGGGTTGTTTTTTCCATCAAGATTCAAAACGAACTCAAATATCATGTATTTCCTAATATGCAAAAGTTGTCGGAATAAGGTTTGATCATTTCAGGGTCGTTCTGGTATTTTAGCATACCTTAATACTAACATTGGAACAAAGTAACCTGGTGCAGAAATAGTGGACAACTGGTTCATCTTCTTGTATATTTGTACTAACAAATGAAGCGAAAATGGAAATGGTAACCATTGTCCTTCTTTTGCAGTGATGCAATCCAGCAATCATACTTGTGGTTTTGATTGATACTTATATAACATTTCATTTGATGTCTTGCGGTATTGTTATTGTTTTAATTTTTTTTTTTTGGTGTATGTGTAGTTTATGATGTAACAAGGAGAGATACATTTACAAACTTATCTGATGTGTGGGCGAAGGAATTGGAACTCTACTCCACTCATGAAGATTGTGTCAAGATGCTTGTCGGGAACAAAGTTGATAGAGTTAGTATCATTTCCTCTTGCTTCTCACATACCTTGTTCAATTATTGTGCCTGCAAAACAAATTTAACTGAAACCTGCTTTTGTATGACATCTCTTTATAATACCATTTCATGTTTTGGATTTGGCTTGCCTCATGAATCACCAGAAATAATAAGGGAACAAAATTTTCATTGGATACTCGAAATTAAGTGAATCGTAAGCTTCATTTGGGCTACGAAGAGAGTGCACGGTTATTTCCCTGAATTATGTTTATCCTGGCTCTCTTTTCATGTATATCACATTTTTTAGCTCGTGGCTGGTTTTTTGTATACGTAAATTTGGTAAACTGATCATCAGCGATTCTATTCATTTATCTACCATAAATTGTTCTCTGTTAGTTCTTCATTTCTGTTCTGTATTCTCGTTTGGCTCTTTCCAACAAACGATGTATGTTTCCACAACACATTTCCATCACAGGAATCTGAACGAGTTGTGAGTAGGGAAGAAGGGATAACCCTAGCAAATGAGCTCGGATGTCTATTTCACGAGTGTAGTGCTAAAACTCGAGAAAATGTGGAGCGGTGTTTTGAAGAGCTAACACTGAAGGTAGACGAATTGCATCAACATAATTTCTATGACCGATTTGAACATAATGTTCTACGATCATTTCATTTACCAAACAAGTCCTCTTCAAACTATCTTTATCTTTTTTTTTTTCGACCCCCAGATTATGGAGGTACCTAGACTTCTCGAAGAAGGGTCAAATGTGAAGAGAAATATTTTAAAACAGAAACAGGAGTATCAGGCGCCCCAAGACGGCGGTTGCTGCTCGTAAAATGTTTCGATAATAGATCGACTGTCGAGCGATACCCAAACTCTCTTTTTTTATCATTATATGGTAAAGGTGTGTATAAATGTATGTAGTTCCCTTACCTCCCTTTTGTCCCCTCTGCTTCTGTTGTGCTTTGATGGGTGGCTCATGTGCTGCTCTTGTTTTATTATCTGCTAGCTCCTGTGAGTTTGTTGCCTACTTTCTTTGTCCATTTTTATATTGTAATCGTGTTATACTTTTTTACGGTTTGTGCGAGTTTGTTTATTTGTGTCAAAATGAGATTATTTTAAGATTAGTTCCAAAGTAGCTTCGTGTACTAAATCTATTATTAGTTCTAGCAGCCAAAGAAGCCAAGTTAACCAATTTCCCAAATACCTATAGGCTCAAAGATGATGAAAACAATGGATACTCAAAGAATCTTCTACATCCAATAACCACGAATACTTGTTTTGGGACGAGTAACATCAACATACAGTTAAGGAAAATGTCCAAATCCACATACTAATTATTCAATCTATCAACTTTTACCCACCTATAGAAGAATTGAGTAAACCGTACTTGATGATATCCCCAAACTCAAAAGCTTAGTCAGATTTTCCGAGGCTTGATTAATGGCCAAGTGCAGCAGTAGTAGCCTCTTCCAATATCATCTTGGCTTCAGTTCCAGCATCAGCAAGCTCGGCTGGAGTCTGCACCCAATAAGATTCCCATTTACTCGACCCAATATTCAGTTACTCTTGTTATTGTCATTAGTTGAAACGAGCGAAATCCCAAACATCTGCTTACCTTTCCGTAGATGTTTGTCCTAGTTGGACAAGCCTCATAAGCAAGTAACAATCTCACGGTATCGGCATATTCGCCTCTAGCAGCATGGTGAAGAGGCTAAAAAGACAAAAGCCCCAAAGGTTACAAATTTCAGATTATGCATAAGTATAACTAAACTTTGGTTGACGAAGATTTTCCACACTTCAAGCGCAGAAAAATTTGCAAAAAACAAAATGGAATAATCGAGATATGATCATATGAGTCAATAACTACATAGACTCACCGTGTCCCCTTCCATATCGACATTTTCGAGCATTCTCCTCACATGCTCTGGGTCATTTGCGGAGTTTATGAGAAGTTGGACTATTTCTGTAAAACCTGCACAGCAAGTTTAATGAACCAAAAAGTAAAGAATGGTATCCCAAAAGAATAAAACTGAGGATAAACACACCTCCCGCACAGGCATCGTGCAAAGGAATTCCTCCATCCTCATCCTTAGCCTCCATGTTTGCTCCCCTTTCTAACAGGAACTGCACATTCATTTTACAAATTTAACCACACAATAACCGAATCAAGTCACGACCGATCAGCTGAAAACGCAAAACAATTAACACAAGGGATAGTTCTGAAAACCATGCTTGACCTTCTGGATATTTACATAAAAACGAAATGATCCAGAAAGATTTTGAAACTAAAATAGAAAAGAAAAGGCTCCATGAGATTCAATTCTGTTGTACATTTTCCCCTTCAACATTATCATCATCATAATAATAACGATTAACGATAATAAAGTAAAAAACCCTTAACTAGATAAATATATTACAGTTATCCCATAAATCCAAGGCATAAGCAAACCTGACCACATTTTTTTGTACTTTTCAAAACCACTTGACTCTGTTCACTGTTGTCTTTGGTAATTACTCAAAACATGAAGTGCTTATGTAATTTTTCGAAGTATCTAGAATATAAAAGCGGCTAGTGTCTAGTTCTGGCAAAAGATAATTTGACCTGGACGCTAGCCAAATGGCCATAGAGACACGAGAGATGTAAAACAGTGTCACCATCTTCCACTGGCTCGTTAATGTTGCCACCAAAATTCTCTGCAGTTATTCAAACGTTTGAACAAGAATTAACCGACAGAGATGAATTTATCATTAGCCTGTATCATACAGAGAAAAATTACCACTTTGAGCGTAAAAACCAATTACATACTTAAAAAGTTAATAATTCGATTGCATCTAATAATCCGATTAAATCCTATAGCTTTGATTGTAAAAGAGAAAAAGCTGTTATCGCCAACAACAAGATAAGTCACTACAAAATGGTAAGCTAAATTGCAATTGCTTTCCTAATTGGCGACTCTCCTAATCATTGTCTTGCAGAAGTCGTACACTAAAATCACGAATCATACATCTACATTCCACCGTCAAACGGAACACGCAACTAAACATATACGAACTCAACCACACTAACAGAATCGAATGTTGAATCAAACGAAAATGGTAAGCAGTGAGATCAAGTCGAAAGCTACTCTACACAAAGCTAATTGTCCTATTTAAGTCATAGAAAGGTAAATGGCAACAAAAAACAGAGCTCAGGTACACACATAGGATGAAAGCAAATGAACATGCGGATTAAAATTTACAGAGTGATACTTCTCACACATTTTACAGCTCAAATAACATTAGTTTTCCATTTCCACGTTCGCGCTCATCTTAATCCAGACATCCAAAAGTATTAAATACAACCAATTACCAGTCTCATGCCTCTAAGCATGCCAAAAACCCCAATGGATAACAATTAAGATTTAACATTTTTTATATAAAAAATCAATAGATCGTGTAACATTTTTTTCTTCCATATTCAAAATACAGTACTGGTTACCAAGGGCTAGGCGGAGGGCATCTACGTCGCCGGACTCCGCGGCGGAGACGAGGGGGCGAAGGTGAACGGGGATTTCGGAGTCTCCGCCTTCGTCGTCCGTCAGCTCCACGCCGTCTTCCTCAAATAGAGCTGCGCCGTCGTCATCTTCGTCCCTCCGACCGTCAGGCACCGCCATCTCCGTCTGACTCTTTAACGGCGGCGGACAGGTAGTAGGCGAGCAGGCTGCAGCTTCACCTCAAACAAATAAAGTCGCCAAAAGTCCTTTGGCTGAGCTACGGTGTTTTGACAAATTTTAAAAGCGCTCCACAAATTTATTTCACAAAATGACAAAATTCGATTGTGTAAAAAAATAAATTATATTTATCTTTATAACTATAATAAAATTATTTTTAATATTAATTAGAAAAAATAAAATTATTTATCAATCGGTATATTTAAATTTCAAGTAGTTCTATGATATAAGTTATAAAAATTACTATAATATAACATGTAAGTCGCACAAGTAACAAGTCTCATTCTAAAATATATAATAATATAGATTTTTTAAAGTAAATAAAATTTAAAATAATTTTTCTTATTAATTTTAAAACTTAAAAATAATTTTTTAACAAGTATCCGTGTAATATACGGGTGTTGTATAACATTCATCACATCTTCATGCATTATAAGTGATATAGTGTGATATTTGCTCTTGTTTATTGTTGGATTGTGCACCATTTGGTTTTATTTATTAATCTATGATAGAGGTACATTTGTCGTTGGTTTTGCATGAAATATGTCCGGAAAAGCGTTGAAAATAGAATCGGGACGAAAAACGACAAAAACGAGGTGAAGATAGGTCACACGACTCGTGTAGCATGGGGAAAACAAGAATTAAGCTACGGTCTTTTCATACGACTTGTGTGATCCGGTCGTGTGAGTCTGGAAGTTTAGTGAAAATTTGAGAAAAGTCACACGATTTGTGTGGCATGTGACACGAGTCGTGTGACGCGCTGACACACCAACAGGGATTAGGATTCTTATGCGATTTCTTCCCTTTTTCGACCCAAAATTGCCTTACAGTATAAAAGAAACTTGGAGAATACGGTTTTGGGACTCTTGACACCATCGGAGGCCCAGAAAAAGCACGAAACACACGAGGAATTCGAGGAAGTGACGATTGAAGATTCGGGAACTAACGGCGACAATAGTTCTTCTTTCTTTTCTCTTTTTCTTATTCATTGAACTCATGGATTTATTTATTTCAAGTTTTGAGAATATGTTTAGTAGCTAAACCTCTTTGAGATTCTAGGACTTGTGAGTATTCGGATTATTTTATGAAGTAATTTTATTTATTTATTCTGGTTTATCTTTCGTTTATCAATTTCTTGTGATTATATGAATTGTATGAGTATAGGGCCCGTATTTGTGCATATTTGTGATTGACTTGAGACCGATAGGAGATAGTTGATTGTTAGAATTGAGAAATTTATAACGTAAGAGACTAAACAAACCGAGTGGTTGATAGAATCTTGCGAGGGAACGAAAAATCTTAGGAACTTATGGGTGTTAGTTGTTCATCTTGAGACCGAGAGGAGATAGATAACAAATAATATCTACGATTTAACTTGTTCGAGAGAAATGTGTAAATTACGTTAGTGATTATCCCTACGATTGGTAGAATTAAATAAGGTTTGAATGGATAAGAAATCTTTGCTAGAAGAATCGCGAGGAAAGCATAGCTAGAATCTATTTTCTCATTCTTGATTTATCTAAGTACAAGCCTTCATTAGTGTTAGAATTATTTTGCATCTTTTATTAGCTTAGAATTAAAATCTCTATTCGAATCTGCATTAGTCTAGATATTATTTAATCGTCTACATTTTGATACTTAATTATTTTAACGATAATCTCTGTGGAATACGATCTTGCTCTACGCTTACTATTGCCGCACCGTGCACTTGCAGGTAGCGAAAATATTTTGCGAACATTGTACTAGTATTAATTTTAATGTGGATTGTTCTCTTTTTTCTCTCTAAACAGTAAGCAATGGACAATAACATTGGGAATGTTGGGGGAATGGTTCCCTCACTTCAATTAAAGCCGTTAGATTTTTAGTTTTGATGTGGACCATTAGATCATGTAATCAAACAAATGTGATGTGGCAGTTTCTTATTGGTGTTTTATATAAAAAGATGGTTCCGTCACGGGACTGTAGCATTTTCCTATAATATTTTCATTTCATTATTTCGTATGTATTTAAAGTTGTCACTTATTTGATTTTGTTTGAAAATATCGTGACTTTGAAGTTTTCATGCTTAGAGCATCTCTAATATGGTTTTTGACATTATAAAAATCATCTATATCATTTACTTTTGAAAGTGTTATTAATTTATTTTCTAACATATCTTATCATGAACTTTCATGATGAGATAGCTGTATTTTAATGTAACAATGTCCAACTTAATGTATCTTATTTAAAACGATGCCAAGTAGAACACAACATGAGTTTTTATCCCATTTTCGCATATCTCACACATATTTGCGTTTGACGATTCATAAACGCAAATCCATTGAGAATTTGCATTTGTTTCCTTTAATTTGTTTGATTACATTTTTGACATGTTTGTATTCTTCGTTAATTTAATTTGTGGGAGCCAAACAACTTAAGAAAGAACACAAAAAAAAAAAATATAACCATCTGATTCAACTCAAAGTGTGTATCTTGTGGTGGCTACGAAAGTGTTAGAAACTTGCATACTTCAATGAAATTGTTATCGGATAATACACTTTTCGGTTTAAGAATATGTTTTTCGATTAGAGAAAATTTAATATAAATTTGAGAATGAATTTTTCAATTGGAGATGAGCTGAAAGTTTATATCAACTGTGAAAAGTATTATCTTCGAACAATATTTGGCATTAATATAATTGTGCGCGGATTACGAACAAGAAGCAAGTAAATTTGGGCCAATAGTGAAGGCCCATAATGCGGGTAAGGGTGGTTTAGGAATCCATAAATGAAATAGGGCGCTACTATTT